CCTTAAAATACTTTAATTTAATTTTTCATTTCAGTTACGGTGGGGGGCACAAAAAACATTGAGGAAATTTGGACGCTTTTAATTTTTCAAAAATTTAAAAAATTCAAATAACTCGAAATTAATTTGATTTTTTTTCAATTCCTAATGGGGGACCCAAAATTCGTTCATAAAATCTAGTCTTTTTTAAATTTTCAAGAAATTAAAAAAATAAAAAACACGAAGACTGTGCGACTTAAGTAATCATAAAATTCAACTTCATAAACGGTCTTGGAGTCCTCCCCATGCAGCTAAAAGATTATTATTTATCCATGATTTACGAAACACCTTGTATATACTTGGCCTACGGCTATTAGATTAAAGGAATTTATGATTTATACGAAATAGCTTACAATATTAACAACAATCTGTTCTTAAATAAATTAGAGGTATTTTATTTTATCTGTGTGCGGAAGGTAGACTTCAGTTACTGGAACTCCAATAAGGAATTATTACAAATAATCAACTTACTACAATATAGTCTCATAAAGTAATAAAAAGTACTTAAACTACACATACACATAGATTTATAGCAATAAAAATTTTATTCTTTTTTTCGGCGCTGTGTGTAGAACAAACTATTGAAAATATTTTATTATTCTGAAAGTTTGTTTTTACCATGTTATTATAGGCTATCATTGTTGTTTGCAATTTAGAAAATGTACAAATGCAAGTATGAATATTAAAAAGAACCGTTAATAATCTTGTAACAAATACAGGGATTAGTGCTGACTTCTTTCATAACTTTTCTTGCAAAGCTCTTCTTAATTCTTCCGTTGCTTTCGATAAGTTGGAGGAATTATTGAGGGAATTACGCATTTTGAGCTCTTCAGCTCTTCCATCTTCGTAGAAGTAGTCCTTGGGAGGCTCCGTAGGGTATCCACATCTTACATTGCTACCAAACTTGGGGCGGGGAATACTTACTTTTTTAACATCTACTAACCAAGACTCCATTGCTGTAGACTTTGCTATGTAGATTACTTTTTAAATTATCTAAAACAAAAAGAAAACTTACTTTAGTTATGCATATATAGCTGTAGCGAGCACGAGCGTTGTTCGAGTCCTATTCATCAATTCGTTTCACTCAAAATTCAGTTTCTTTTTAACGTCTGCTTTTTTGAAATAATAGTTTCTTTAAGAATCAAAATCTTTTGTTTCGATTTCGAGAAGGGTTTCTTTTGTGCCTATACGTAAAATAGTGTTATGGATGGCACTAGTTATCCAGGCTACATTGTTGTAATCTATATAAAAAAGTGCTGACATAGGTCTGCTCTCACGTTGGAGCCTTGATAACAAGTCTGAACTGGAAACTGCTTTTGCATAGTTAGCATTTAAGTTTTCTTATTGTTCTTTTTAATTATAAATCTTTAGATTGTTACCAGCGCGTCTACCATCTAGACGTAAGAACCNTCACAACGGAACAGAAGAGACATACAAACATCTAAAAAGACAATTTATTGGCCAAAAATTAAAGAACTTATAAACAAAATAATAAACGAATGTGAGACTTTCCTACAAGCAAAATACGAAAGGCATCCCCATAAAATTGCTTTCTCAGGACCTTTGTTAGCTAAACGTCCGTTCGAAATTATTCACATCGACATCTTTCAATTTAACTCTAATAAATTTCTTACCATAATCGATTTGTTTACAAAATATGCCAAGGCTTATTATGTACCCGATGTAACTTGTATTACCATAATGAATAAATTGAGACATTACTTTTCACAAAACAACCATCCCCGAAAAATTGTTGCAGATTCAGGTAATGAATTCACAAACTATATTTTAAAAGAATATTGCTCGGTTTTTAAAATAGAATTACATGTTACTACAGTTGACAATAGTACTTCAAATTCACCCATTGAACGCTTCCATTCTACCGTCTTAGAAAAGATCAGAACATTATCTTTGGAAAATCCCTATGAAACCCCACAAAATTTAATGATTAGTGCAATTTTAATTTATAATCAATCAATACATACCTCTACTGGTTATACTCCGCTTGATATTTTGTATGGACCTTACGATAATTTGCATTTATAGGAGGTTGATTTAGATAAAACAGTTTATCAACAATATAATGAAAACAGGGGAAAAGAAATTATTCCATTTTTCGAACAAGTATATCATGGACAATTAGACAAAGGAAATAAACAGCTAGAATAGGTTAATCAAGATAGAAGGCAAACAGTAGAAGTTAATGAACCTGTAGTTTATATACAGGAAAATCTAGGGCAAGAAAGGATACTCCAAAATTTCAGAAGCTGGAAGTAGAAAAAGTAGATAACAAAAAGATTGAAGGAAAAATTTCTAAGCGACCAACTAACGCATATACCGGAGCTTTAAGACCTTTTAAGAAAAAATTTCCTTCTTTACAGGATCCTTATCTTGACGATACCCAACCAGGGCTTAGTCATAGAACAGATTAATTCCCCAGGTTATTATTTGGAGGGACTAGGATCTGCCAAACTTTTGTCAACTTATCATAAGTTCTATTTTTATTTTAATATTACTCGTGTAGAATTAAGTTATGCAGCACTTATAGAAAATGTAGCAGTTATAGATGTCGTAACAAGTGGAGGGCCAACACAAAAATTAATGTTGAGTCTAAAGGATAATTGCGATTAAATTAAAAGTCAGATTAGGAAACTAAAGGACAGAACAAAGAGAGGATTAATTAATTTCCTAGGTACAGCTATTAAATATATCACCGGAAACCCTGATAGCAACGATTTAGCTGAAATTAACAAAAATTTAGATTCTCTCTATAAAAACCAGGAAAACATTGTAAAACAAATGGGAAAATTCTCCTCTTTTGCTAATCATCTAACCAACAGATATGCCAATGATTTGAAAGCAATACAAACGAGTCTCGATACTTCTCTTTATCACCTAGATAAAATCAAAAATAATATAAACATTCAAGCAGCCATCGAGTATAATATATACTTAAGTCAAAAACTATTAAATTTCCTATTTGTATCAGAAAGAATCATCTCCTTAGCATTCAACGAAATTAAAAACTTGGAACTTTTGACAACATCAGAGCTTTTAGAGATAACCAATCATTTAACAGAGATTTACAAGAACGATGAATTAATTATGATTAATTCTGACTATTTATTCGAAATAATTGAATTTTCCAAATTTAGAGTTTTATTTGTGGAAGATACAATCACGTACGTATTATACATTCCTATTCTAAATCCTTTGCCGTATACGTACCATAAAATATATCCTATCCCTAATGCAAATGACCAGACGCTACTACCCCCAGCGCAATATTACCTAGCTGGACCTCAAAATCTTTGGACCAACGAAAAATGCCCAACTATCAAGAATATAGTGTTGTGCCGAAACAAACCTGTGAATGAC